CAGAAAACTGCATCCCTTTTTAGAAATTTATTAATTAAATTCTTTTTTCTGATATCAAAAATTCTCGTACAAGCTTCAAAGAATTAAAAAAAAAAATTGATGGAAATTACTCAATAAACTTTATCATTCTTCAGTTCATTACTCTATGTAAAGAGTTTTTATTATACTCCTACTCAGAAATTTGCTTTAACGGCAGCGGCGTAAAGGACAAATATTAGGGCCCCCTGAAAAGTCAGGTTTTGAGCCTTAAGCCGGATTCTACAAAGGATTGCAAAACCATAACATAACATAGGCTTTGCAGCCCTTTGCGATGCGGGGGCTTACGTTACGCCACTGTTTAACGGATACTAAAGAGAAGTTTCTGTATCAGTCTTAGGTAAAGATGCAAAATATCTTACATATGTTAAAAGTTCAAAATATCTTACATATGTTAAAAGTTCAAAATATCTTACATATGTTAAAAGTTCAGATATTTTGTGTAGAACAAACCGCGGCTAGTGAGCCGCATGTGGCTCTTTGTATAGGTGATTGCGTCTCTCCCGATTTCTATCTATACCAATTATTAAAAACAGTAACTAAATCTACTATAAATTATAATTTTCTCTTTTCTCTCTCTCCTTTATAATTATCTGTTGAAAGTATTTACCCTATTTGCGTCTAAAATTAAGCATTTGACTGACTTAAGAGTGTGACGGATCTATTCGAGTCATTTTCCTACTAATCCTCTTGGGGAAACTTTGGGGCTAGCATTCACATTAATTCACAGCCTTTCAAGAAGAAACCATGATATTTAAATTAGTTTGACTATATAAAGTCTATATAGGTTTTGTAGATGTAAGACAGAAGGAGCCGCAGAGCTGTTGCAATGTTACGTAAGTGTGAATGTTAGAATATTTCATTCACAAACATAGCACGGGTCAAGGAAGTAATTGCTAAGAGATTAAATTATTAGACTGAGGATCTAAGATAGTTGAAATTATAACTAGTTATTGGTTCATTGGCACTTGTTCTCCTTATCTAGTTCACGTAGTCGGGTTTACTTAGAGTTAGTTATTGAGATTAGATAACGCTTTATATATCACTCCTAGGTTTCCTTTTGTAGTTTCACTAGTGATTGTTTAAGTGTGCTTGAAGATAAATAAAACTAATTGTTATTATGGAACTTGTTAGTGATGCTTTGTTTCCCCCACACCTTTAGGCAGGCAAGACGGAGAGCGAGGGGTGCTGATTAGGCCGACACCCCACAAGAGTTACGTATTAAGGTATCCGACTACTTGCAACAACTTTAAAAAAAATGGAGATATGGGGATTTTTATTTGTTGTTTTAAGATTTGTTTGGTACATTTTATGAAAAATATGCTAAAATTAAGAAGAGAAAAAGAAATTATAAACTAAAAAGGGAAAAAAATGGGTAAAACTTGACAAAAAAATAACATTAACGTGGCCCATTCTGTACCAAAAGTTTATGAAAAAATTTTCAATTCTGATGTGTTTCTATGTTATTCATTTTTGAAATGAACTTCAGGATTAGATACATTTTAATTGTTTCAAAAACTAGAGCACTTTATCTTAGTAATTATATGAAATTGCTTAAGAAAACAGTGATTATATTAACATTAGGGACTGTACATTTTGTAGTAAAACAGTGATTGATAAATCTGAAAGTTAAAACGCTTCTACTATTATACAGAACATACACAAAAAAATTTCACACAATTAATTATATTCAAAACTTTTTTAGCAATCGCTGGCCCCGTTTGAGCATTAAAAAACACATTTCGAGTAAAACATGTCCTTAAGTATGGCATCTTACTTAAAGTAATGGCATATGCTCTTACTAAAACACTTAGAGTGTTTGTTCTAGAGAACAGAAAATATAAACTTGGTATTTTTATAAAGCTAATAAGATGGCCTATAAAATAAAATCATAAAAAAATTGTCAATATTTGGCAAAATTTACAATTTTAGAATAGTCAGATACCTTAAATTGTTCTCCATTGACAAAGTATATTGAGAACAAGGGAAAATATTAAAATTAATTCTAATGCAGAAAAAAACCTAATTTATTGGTAGAAATGCCGCAGTGTTTACTTCTTTGTATACATGAATTAGAGAAAAACTCTTAAATATGAGGCAGAAATACACTTAAGCCCCTACAGAAGTGACGAAATCACATCCCGGATTTTCTGACATTTTTAAGATACATGACTTTTATATACTTGAACAAACAAAGTCAATTTTAATTCTTTGTGTAAACATGAAATTTCTGAATGAAGTTCTAAAAGTATTATTCATAGGAAATTTTTTTCACCACGCGTGGAATTTTAATTCCAACATTAGGATATTTTGACATTGGATATTCTTGTATTGAGCCACAGAAATAAAAATATGTTCCCAAATTCTTATTCTTTTGGATGCAATGGAAAATTTTGCTTTGTGTAAAGCTTTATTTAAATATTTTCAAAGAAAATATTAATTGCTCTGGATCACGAGTGCTGGCAAAGGCCTTTACTGCGCACGCGTAAGTGGCTCTTTGTGCACATGGCCTTTGATTACTTATTTGCTATCTTGTTTTTCTTATGACTTAGCTATTTTCTCCAAAAGTTTGCTTACCACTGGTGTAGAGTATTATATAACAATTCTTTAAAATACATACATATTGCTTCAAAAATTTTATTATCCTTTGAAAGAGTTCTGAATTAGAAAACAACACTCATTCAGAAATTTTGATTGCTTTTTTAACCTACAGAAAGAGAGAGAGAGAGAGAGAGAGAGAGAGAAGGAAAAATTTGTAATGCTGAATAAAATATTTAAAAAGAAACTCTGGCGATATTTTCAATCAGCAATAATTGAAAAAGAAATATCGCGCTGGCATTTTCATTTAATTATGTGAAAACTAATTAACTTAACATACATGCAGCGCTTTGCATGCTTTTTTAAATCACATTCATAATCAAATATTAATCATATGACGTCAATAGATTTAATATTTAATGTCATCAAAAGTCATTAAACATTAAATCTGTTGACGTCACAAAACCCCATTTTACGTCATAGGCTTAATCTAAAAATAACGTTATCTAACTGAAACAGTTTTCAGCTTAGATAAAGTAAACATTTATTATTACGAATAATTTTCGTATTTTTCTATTGAGATATCAATAAGTCTAGACTGTGGTATTATAGAAATAAACCAATTTTTAATGTATCTCAATCTGAAAAATGTGCACAATCCCTGGTTGGGCTATTAAATAATTATAATAATACTGCTTTGAATTTTCAATGTTTCTGAAGACAATGAAATACCTTTAAGGAATGTGAATATCGAAACATTTAGTTATTGTAAGAAATTTTTTAATTATAATGAAAAGAAACGAAACTGATTGACAAATAAATTGAACAGCTTTGATGGACAAATCAATAACTGTTGAAATTGTTCTAACGAAATTGCTTCCTTTTTTATTTAGAAGATTTAGTATTTCCCTAAATATGTATTTTGAACGAGCTTGTATTATCTTATAATGATTTTAAGGTTTGTATTCGGAGTTTAACTATTTTTGGCTTTGTATACTATCAAATAAAATTACTTGCAATAAGCAGCCTCTTACATTGTTAAAAGATCAGAAAACAATAATAAGAAAAGGCTATCCTAACCCTAATTACAGTAAAACTAACTATTAATTTATGTTCCTCTGTTTCAAATTATTATTCAACACGCACGCACACACGCACGCACGCACGTACACGCACACGCACACGCACGCACACGCACGCACACGCACACGCACACGCACACGCACGCACACGCCACGCACACGCACGCACACGCACACGCACGCACACGCACGCACACGCACACGCACACACGCACGCACACGCACGCACGCACACGCACGCACGCACCGCACACGCACGCACACGCACACGCACGCACGCACGCACGCACGCACGCACGCACGCACACACGCACACACGCGCACACATAGTTACTGTCCTACATGGCACATTCTTGAGCATTTTCTTGAAGTTACTTTACATTGAAACTTTAGGCTACATTTCATTTCAGAGTATTAAAAAAGCATATAGTTTTAGAGCGTTTTCATAACAGTTATAAATGTGCAAATTAATTTATTACCAAATAAGTTTTTGGAAATTTGTTTTGGTGAACCTTTTATCATTAGTATATTAAATACTTTCAAACCACGAAAGATCTCTTAACGAGAAGATAAACATTATCATATGAGCCTAACGAAGGAGCCCATGCTCCCTTTTTTTTAGTTGGTGTGAACTGTGCAAAAAATACATCCTCGGTTACCAAGTACGGTACATCTTCTATGAATCTTTCTCTGATCTAAACAGCAAAATTTAATTTTGATATCGTCAAACCACAGTTTTTTCAATGTTAAACCCTGTTTAAACATTTAACTTTTGTGATACTTTTAGTATGAAGAACACGTTCTCTTATATTTTTCATCTCTTTATGGTTGTCGGTTTTCATCACTCTTCTTATTTTTTTTAAAAAAAAGTAGCAAATGCTACTTCTATTTATTATTTAAAGGATTTCAATAGCAGGCAAATATTGAAAATGATTTTTAGGTTTCCTAAATTGAGTATGATTTTTCCTTTTTTTCCATGCATTACAAATACGGAAAAAAAATTTAAAGTAGAAAATCAGTTTTTTTATGTAATGCTTTTTAAATAACCAAAATAGGTCCCCCAATTTATTAATACAAGTTATATAAAAATTTTTTTAGGTCAACAAAGCAAGTTTTTATTTTTGTTGCTTTTTATTAAATAGTTATAATTAATATAAGTATATATATACATATGACAGAATCACAATGTTAAGTGACAAAATAGAAAGCGATTTTCCTTGCAATTTTTCACTTTTCTTTCTGTATATTGTGTTAGACTATTTTTTTATTTATTCATTTATTAAATTTAATTTCTGTGATAAAATATTATAGTAAAAATGAAAGTCACCGTCTGAAAAATTAAGCCATTCCAGGTGGGATTCCTACCCACTACCTTTGAATTAGAAGTCCAACACGCTATCCATTGCTCTGCAGGGACACAATGAACGACTTTCCCTTCTATATATGCTGTTGGACTATCGTTTTTGTTTGTCAATATTTATTCATTTTTTAAAATTTAATCAATGAATTAATATTTGAAAAACTCTATTAATAGCAAGTATCATACACTGCAACTTTAAAAAATGTATTTGAACTTGAATGGTTGAAAAGAAAGTATTTTATTAACGATTGAAAATTTGAGCAAAATATATGTATATATATATATTACAAAAATATACAAAAAATAGTTATAAACCTTAGATAACTATAGTCATGATAGAATGGATTTAGCCACAGTAATACTAGAGCAAACTCCTGGTTATATATATATATATATATATATATATAATATATACACACACACTGCTGGCCACCGTAAATGCAACATCAAGAAAGACAAGAGATAGCACAAAAAAATTTATTTTGTAGATAACATGTTGACCAAGTATCAAATAATTAAATTTATAGACTTCTGTGAAGTGTGTGGTCCTTGCCAGAATCAGTAGCTAGAGTAGCCGTCATTGTTGGAGATCACTGCTGCCACACGCCTCGGCATTGATTTAAAGAGACTTCGGATGTGTTCTTGGGGTACAGCAAACCAAGCAGCTTCCACGCGTTGCCAAAGTTGATCTGCTGTGGCAGATGGGAGTGTAATCTGGGTCAATCGTTGAGCAATCATGGACCACATGTTTTCTATCGGCGAAATATCCGGAGAGCGAGCCGACCAGAGAAGCAATTCAATCTGGTGATTGACGAAGAAACTTTGGACAATGCGTGCAAAGTGTGGTCATGCATTATCCTGTTGAAATATGGCTGTGGCCAAGCCCTGAAGGCAAGGAAGGACAACTGGCTCCAACTCCTCGGAGATGTAGCGCTGGCTCTTTAAAGTACCGGCAATGCGTACTAGAGGAGTGCGAGAGTGATATCCAATAACACATAATACCCGGTGCAGGACCAGTGTGGCGGTGCATTACGCAGCTGTTCAGCATCTTCTCTCCACGGTGTCTCCAGACTCGAATCCGACCATCGTGGTGTTGCAGACAAATGCGTGACTCGTCAGTAAAGACAACTTCATTACATTCTGCCACCCACATCCTTCTTTCATCGCACCATTGGCGGCGGAGACGTCTGTGGTTCTGCGTCAAGGGTAGACCAAGCAATGGACGTCTTGCGGACAGACCACTCTGTTGTAAACGACGTCGAATGGTACGCGCAGACACTGAATGATGCGTTACAGACTCAATGTGCTGTGCTATGGTTCGTGATGTGACTGAGCGATCCGTCACTGCCATGCGCACAATTTGCTGTCCTCACGTGAAGTGGTGCACTGAGGTGGATGCGATCAACCACGTCGGTCCTTCGTACCCTCCTGCATCCAACGGTCACATATCCGCATTACAGCTGTTTGGTTTCGTCCAACACGACTACCGATTTCCCTGAAAGATAATCCACAACCTCGGTAGGCCACTATCCTTCCTCTGTCGAACTCGGATACTTGATCAAAAGCTGATCGTTGTTTTCTACGAGACATAACTGATCGTTTTTTGAAAAAACCACGAGAAAAACACAATTGCCGAACTTTAAATCGTCGAAATCTCCAAGACTTAAATAGCGCTTTGAGGTGGCACCACAGGCGTGCGTGATGTGTGTCTGAGCTGAAATTCTAATCATTTTCATATCTCCCCTCCGCTAATGCATGTTGTAAATTTCATATTATTTGCGTGCTTCCTTCAGGGTGTTGCATTTACGATGGCCAGCAGTGTATATAGGGAGAGAGTGTGAACTATTTATAATAGTTGGAATTGAATAAGGCTATACTTAGTCAATAGGAATAAAAATAAGCAGAGCACTCACAGTACAAGAGTTAAAAATGAAAACCAAAAATTGGTTGGTAAATTTGTGTCAAATGTAAATATATCTTCTAAAGTGTAAAAACTGACCTTTTCTGAAATGGATTATTAGCTTATCGGGATCTTTAAATATGTAAAACCTTAGGAAAATGTATTGAAGACTTCCGGAATAACCTACTTTTAGATAATTTTTAATGAAACAATACATTTTAGAAAACATATATTGCGAATGAATGAAAATAAATACGCTTTAAACTCGTCTAAACTGATTGATATAATAGAGATCTACATTTATCATAAGCGGTTACAAATCTTTTATGAATTAAGAATGTTTTTAAGTGCATATTGAATAGTTAATTGTCAAAGAAAAACTTCAAGAGTATTAATTTTTGTGAACAAGTTTTTTAAGTTTATACAAGTAGGGGATTTGGTAATTCATCTTTGTTTTCTGAACAGGTTCTGAGTTTTTCTTTTCATGCGAACAAAAGAATTCATTATTCAAAATAGATAAATTTTCATTCTCCTTTCTTTTTTTTTACAAAGAATATCATTTTTCAAACATTACACAATGAGAGAAAATGTATATTCTGTTTTTATTGCAACTTTTTTATTTATTTTTAAATGGTGATTATTTTCATCTGATTAACGATGCAAGCACGATCTCGTTAAATCTTCGTCCAGTCTCGCTCAAGATCCGTCCTCGATGGAAAAAAAAATTTCATTAAAAACGAATCCTTTTTTTAAAAAAAATTTTTTTTTTCTTACAGTGGTTTTGTTTCATGGAAAACATTTGTTTCAGATCATTTAGATAAAAAAATTTAAATATTATTGGTGATAGATTTACTGGAAACGTTGCTTGAACAAGTTGAGCAAAGCAATTAGTTTCCGTAATTGAATACACTTTATATCATTTAGAAAAATATTATTATTTATTGCATATTTCGACAAGCTTTTTGTAAATTATGCTTTATAAGATATTTTCATTTACTTAAACAGGGAGTTGCTGAATTCGACCGACAAATTCAGAGGGGGGGGATAGAAGGCAGCATGGAGACGACAAATCTTCATAAATCATGGGGAGGCAAAACAGGTTGAGTTGGAGTAATTTCCAAAAACAGTTATGAAGTATATGATGTCGAGTGTGGAATGAAAAATGACAATAAGAAGAAAAAATGCATTTATTAGACGTAAAGCATATTTACCATGAGAGCAATGTATCACATATCTACGTCAGAAAAGCAACGACTAGGGATTATCACAGGAATATTTCCAAGTTAAGGTTGCGTAGTTCATAGTACAGTTGACACTGACGGACGAAGAATTGCTAGATGTGTTGAGAAAATCCGGTGAGCTGGCGATACTCGATCTTCCAGTTCAGGTGTATGCATCCTGAATTCATTAAGAAACCCGACTACTTGCGGCAACTTTTTTTTTAAATGTAGATAGGAAGATTTTTTTGTGGTTTTTAGATTTGTTTAGTACATTTTAAGAAAATATGCTAAAATTACACACACACACATATATATATATATAAAGAAAAAGAAATTATTATTACTAAAACGGGAAAAAATGGGTAAAAATTTACAAAAATACCCCATTCTGTACCAAGAGTATATGAACAAATTTTCAATTTTTCAACTCTGATATGTTGCTACATTATTCATTTTTGAAATGACCTTCAGGATAAGAGATATTTTACTTTTTACAAAATATAGAGCACTTTATTTTAATTATTATATGAAATTGCTTAAGAAAGCAGAGGGATTATATTAACATAAGAGAATGTAAAATTTTAAATAAAACAGTGATTGATAAATCTGAAGGTTAAAACATTTCTACTATTAAACAAAACATACACAAAAAATTTCAAAAATTGTTTTTAAAAAATACATTTCGAGTAAAACGCGCTTTAAAGTATGACATCTTGCTTAAAGTGATGCCATCTTCTTTTATTAAAACACTAGTAGTTTTTGTTCTAATGAACGGAAAATAATAAACTTTATATTTTTATAAACCAATAAGATGGCCTATAAAATAAAATAATAAAAATTTTGTCAATTTTTGACAAAATTTACAATTTTAAGGTAGTCGGATACCTTAAGCTTCGTTTTTTTTAAAGGATCCGTACTCTTGCAATCGTCGATCGATGCTCGTGAAGGTGGCGTGGTGTAGACATTGCCTTCTCGAAAAGGGGTCCTGGAATATTGTCTTAGCCATACGTCTACTGCAGTGGTCTTCAAAATGTGTTCCTACGAATCCTGGGTTTTCATGAAGCATACTCAGGGTTCCATGAATCGAAATAAAAAATTTAGAAAGAAAACTGTAAATGTGTCAGATACGGATTACAATATTCAGAAAACAATATTCAGATACGGATCCCCATTCTGTATGGAATTTGTATGACCACAAGTATCTTTAACCGTGCTTCACAACACGGGTCCCACGTCCTATTGCGGGAAACTTAGAAAATAAATTCTGCACCCGACAGCCTTTGTCTTTAGTAATTTCATGCATTTTTTATTATAATATTATAAAAGAATATTATAAAACGCGTTTTTTCGTCTTATGTAAAAAACTTTCTACAAGGAAACGTTAAAAAAAATCTAACACCTATACAATATCTTTCAGAGGAGAAAATCAAGCTTGAATTGATTAACCAGAAGGCTTGCCAAAGAACAACTGAATGACATATCAATTGCTCGATATAAAACCTAAATTTAAGTAGGAACAGCTCTAAATTTTAGAATGCAAATTTATAGAATGCGCAGAAGTTTCTATAGCTTAGTTATAAATATATCAAAGCGATTCTGGACAATATATTTAAGTTAAAAATATTTCTCAATGTGTGTGACAACGAGCACAGAATATAGAAACAAATTAACGCAGAATATGAAATGTGACTGCAGATAGCTTCAACAGAGCGACAGCTTGTGCAAAAAAATGCAAACACTTATCCCAGTTTCAATATAAGGCAAGGGTAAATGACAGATGGAGTACGAATTAATGCTATTAATGAGTAAATTACATTGATGTGCTAAAATATTTAATAAAAAAAATATAGTATTTATGTTAAGTTGTATTTAATATACTACCTATAGCATATTTACTTACTTTAAATATTTTTTTAAAGATATATTAGTTTAAGGTT